CTATAGCCTTGGAGATATCTTACTGGTTCTTCAGTAAGAGAGTTTCCAGAGTTACTGCTTGATTTTACTTGGTTAGGCAATTCTGTCAGTATTTGAATAAGACACGGGGGAGCAGTTTATCAAACACTCCTGTGTGCAGCCGTGTTCACAGGGAGCTGCTGCCTGGCATTGTAGTAAGACAAAATCCCGAGAGATTTTTCTCTGAAATGTAAAAGACAACCCAGAATTTAAAGGCTTAATACATTTCAAATGACTATTTCTCTGACTACTGAGCTTTTAGAAATTTCTAATAATGTGGTTATTAATAATACAAAGGTAAAAATAATTAAAATGTGAATGTGAATTAAAAGTGGGAGCCTGAGCTAAGTCTCACCCACAGGCCACTTAGTAACACACTTATGTAATCTTTGGCATCGGAAATTTATTCACACATTCACAGTTCTCCATGTGAAGTAATGAGTACAGGAAACTATTTCCAAGAGTTTTATCATATGAGAGGAAATATAATACAGGGCAAGATTTTATTATTAATTTTTCTCTACAATTCCATTATTCAGAAATTTCTCTGCTATTATTCATGAAAAGCTTGGAAGAAATTCCCTTTATCATACTAGCAATTACATACACATATCTGCCAACTATACTCCAGTGGTACATTTTTTACCATGTACTTTATTAATCATAATTTGATCATTGACATGTCTTCATTTTCGACTGTGGTATTACCATCATTGCTATAATTTAAGAGAATTATAAACATAAATGCAATCTGATCGCCTGGAAAAACTGTCAATCAATACTCAAGGCAGGTTGTGCAGCAGGCATTCTCTCCTGCTCCTGTGGGTCCCAGAGGAGGGCTTACGTCACCAACAGGGATCTGCTCCCCACAAACATATTGACGAAACACCACAATTAGTCCTGCTTCAATAAGCACACACAATAAAATGAATTTAAAACTACAGCACACCACATATATTAAAGCTTACTTCAATAAACCCAAAAGCAATGCTATTAGGGATGTAACCTTCTTCTATTTCAAAATAATCAGCTTGCAGTTTGTCATAATTTTAGCTGATTCTTGTAAATACATGACCGAGCAAGGAGATAAGATCTACACCCTGAAATGATATTTAAATATAGAATTCCCTACATGAGAGGATGTGGCTGCAGAGGGGAGAAGGATATTTCTAATAAACAGCTGGTTTACAGGAGTGAGCAGTTATTAAAAGTTATGGCCAATCAATCTTTGGGGACCTAAAGAGGCCAGAGGTCCTCCAGGTTGTGTCGTCCTGTGCCTTGATGGTTCGAGTTGATGACCTTTGCTCTCAGGCTCTGCCTCCTGAGCTCACATCCACCCAATACTGTTCACGGCACGAGCAGTCTCAGCTCTCTGCAACTGCACTGGACACACGACACCCACAGAGGCTGCAGCCTAATTCTGTCGAGAATTTCCAGGGAACATTTAATGTTTGCCAAGCTGGAGTTTGCTATGCGGAGGCTGCACGAGCAGTCTCAGCTCTCTGCAACTGCACTGGACACACGACAACCACAGAGGCTGCAGCCTAATTCTGTCGAGAATTTCCAGGGAACATTTAATGTTTGCTAAGCTGGAGTTTGCTATGCGGAGGCTGTAAGACAAAGTGACAGGCAAGCGAAATTTTCTACTCTCCTAGAGCAAATGAAATATTGACCACTCATCATAAGCAGCAGCAGCTGGGGCACACGCAGGCTCCACATCACGGATGAGGTCAGTTATCTACTCTTTGACATCACTGCCACGTGCTGCACCGTCAGTGTCACCAAACACCACTCGATGACACATCACTGCAAGTATTTAATGACTACACCTCACAGAACCTGTACGGATTTAAAATGAATTGCCCCGGAATTCCACTCTCTGATAATAGACATTCATTTGTGCACAAGCATAGGTAAGGTAAATGAGAACGCAGACAGCCCACACTGCAAAGACTGGCAACTGCGATCTCAGAGACTCCAAAACCAGGACGCTCTACTTAATAAATTACAGGCTTCTACAGACTAAGATGACACAAGAGCCACAAAGAGATCATCAGAGTCTAGCGTTGAGGCAGAATGTAGAAGACCAGGGAAGTCCCTCAGCGATCCTGCTGCTTTCTGACCATCTATGCTGTGAGAGGTCGAAGCCGAGGTCAAACAGAAAACGCCAAAGGAGCCATTTCTCGGAACAAAGCTCCAGGGTGCAATATTCTAAGCACTTTATTCAATAAAAAGTGCTTTTAACACGGCACTTTGGTGACCGGGAAACACCGCGCTCGCCCGTCAGCCCCACTGCAGCCGCGTTCGCTCGGCTGAAGAGCGAGCCGGCGAGACGGCCCCCGGCTCCAGGGCTCCGCAGCCGCGGCGCCAGCAGAGCTCTCTGAAGATCACGACGACGTCCATTCTCTCCATTCTCAGATTTAAAATATCTGTTTTTTATTTTTTCAAGGTTTTTATTTTTCATTTTTAAAGGGATTTTTTAAAGGTTATTTAATGTTCTGCCACTTTTAATCACTGTCCAATTTCCAAAGTAGGAAGACATTTTAAACAAGTACAAAATTTAAATATCAGATCAGCAGTTTCTATTTTGCTCTAGTAATCTTTGAATCAATGAAATTCCTCTCTTATGTGAATTCTTATTTTAAGATTTAACAAGTGTTATGACTTACATAAAAACCCAAAGATGGGGGCTGGCCCTGTGGCTGAGTGGCTAAGTTCATGCACTCCACATCAGTGGCCCAGGGTTTGCTGGTTCAGAACCTGGGCACGGACCTATGCACCACTCATCAAGCCATGCTGTGGCAGCGTCCCACATAGAAGAACTAGGATGACTTACAACTAGGATAGACAACTATGTGCTGGGGCTTTGGGGAGACCAAAAAAAAAAAAAAAAGAGGAAGATTGGCAACAGATGTTCGCTCAGGGCCAATCTTCCTCACTAAAAAAAAAAACAAAAAACCCTAAAGATGAAAAGTCCCATGTATTTTCAATAAAATTTGTATTTATTTTTGTCAAGTAATAAGGTAAAAAAGTAACATAGTATTTTTAAAACTTCTAATAAAATTTTTCTTGGGAAACATCTGTGGTCTAAATTTCCCATGCGTAGGACGGGGAAATAATTCTTTACCAATATATAACTATATGGAATTTTTGAAAATGTGTAGAATGCTATAATGTAAAAAAAAAATGTGTTCAACCTTTTCTTTATAAGAAAAAGAATGTGGTCCATTTGCTTTCAAAGAGCAGTCACCAATGATCTGTACTTGTCCCAAAGCCTACACTGGAATGCTAAGATACCAGTTATAACTCTGATGAGTCTTAACTATTCATCTTTTCAGTTTTAGATCTCCAAATTTGCTTATGATTGTAGAACTAAGAATTTCTCCAGGGGCTGGCCTGGTGGTGTAGCAGGTAAATTTGTGTGCTCCGCTTCAGCGGCCCGGGGTTCGCTGGTTTGGATCCTGGGTGCAGACCTACACACGGCTTGTCAAGCCATGCTGTGGTGGCGTCCCACATATAAAGTAGTGGAAGATGGGCACGGATGTTAGCTCAGGGCCAGTCCTCCTCAGCAAAAAGAGCAGGATTGGTGGCAGATGTTAGCTCAAAAAATGTTCCTCAAAAAAAAAAAAAAACGACACGTCCCTCTTGGCATCCACCCTGGTTTGTCACATGGTAGCATCTGTCTTACAACCTGACAGTATGTCAAAAGGAAAGATTCACAAGTCTCAGTGGTTCTCAATTGTGGACGCAACTTATTGGATTTTCAGAATGGAGAAATATCCGCCCCACCCAGGCCTACTGAATAATCATTATTTCTAGAACTGAGCGTGTACATAGAAAAAGGCAAATATAAAAAAAAGGAGAAACAAAACAAAACTATTTGTCCACCTGATGCGCAGACAGGCGCTACAGCAGCAGCGCTTCTTCCCCGACAGCCTCAGCCTGCTACCCTCAATGGCAGCCAAGGGCGCCCAGCCCCTCCACCCTTGCCCACGTCTCGCTGTCTCTTGGACCACGGCCTCCAGGCAGCGACGCAGGACCTAGCTTCTTGACTGTGATGTAATTTTGGTGAAAGGAGTTTTCTCTTTTGAAATAAACTTGTTAATGAGAATCACTAGGCACCTCTCTTTAAAACATTAGGTGTGACTTTTTAAAAAATTTTGATTGAAGGTACTTTTCTGAGGGGTGATTTAACTTATATGATCAAGTTTTACAAAGTATTTGAAGAAGCTTGTTTACTTACATTTCTTCCACAATTGGTTTGATTACTTTACAGAATTATCTAAAGAACCTTGAGTGGAAAGAGTGTATTAAAAAACTATATGTAAGATATACGAAAACTGTCCAGGAATGGGACAAATTAATTTGATATAGGATTTTATCAATCTAAAACTCAAAAAATGATGTAAAGTTAGAAATGACTAATTTACCATATGTAAGATTTTACCATTTATGTCTTCTGTAGATTTCTGAAATTATTTACATCCCAATTCTCTTTTGAGATAAATACATTATATCTAACTTCTGGCAAAAATAACTGGAAATTTAATATGCAAACCTGATGACTCATTTGGAGATAAGAAAAAATCAGATGCTGTAGCTCGTAATAACAGTCCCAAGGTTCAACAGCTTTATTAAAATCTGACTTGGTCAGAAATCAGTTTATGAAGTCAGTGAAACGCTGACTTTTCTCATGTTTTTCCTGTAAGGAAGTCTCACACGTTTCGGGATGTGAGGACACACTGAGACCAAACACACTTATCCAGAAGCTGCCGTCACGCCAGCGTTACACACTGGAAAGAGCTGGGCGGTTTGCTAGCCTATAGTTAAAAGCAAGCACTAAAAACATAATGAAGCTCCCCTCTGTTCCCCAAAAGAGAGCTAATTCTCACGCCTTCTGAGTCCAAAAGAAACACAGACGACGCAGTGTTGTACTTTGAGTAACAGCGTGAAAGGAGATTCTTTAAGAGGCCCCAACTGACCTCATCGGGGCTGGAAGCCTGGTAGGTGCGGTTCTCGTCGCTGAAATCTTGGTCCACCTCGGCATACTCGGTCTCCCCGGTGACGCCAGCCCGGGCCTCATACACGGGGGTCACGTTGTGGCACAGTGCAATAGCCTTCACTGCTTCGTGGACTCGACTGCTAACACTTTTTCTAACTTTGGGAGCTGAAGATTGGGCTTTTCTTGGTGGAGTTGAACTAGCATTGTTTCCACTAGCTTGAGAATACATCTGTAAAATATGGAATGTCACAAAACTAAAGATAAAGCATAGCTGATACGGAAATTATTAACATCTTATTTTTACAAGCTAATTAGCTAGGGATAAGAAAAGTAGCTTTATTTGATTATCCAATTTGATTCTGATGATCTCCTACAGAATATCTATTGGTATGGCAAGTTATTTTTTATCCTAGTACTGCAAATTACTTTGAAATGTCCTGGTTGTCAAGTACACTAAAAACACCTAAAATCGGACAGTCTCCTCTTACTAGATTTACTTGCATTAATTTGCTAAGTCCTTAACAATTTCTGTTTATCCATTACTTTTAGAAACAGTGAATCAAAGAACAAAACAGTATGGTATGCTCACAACTGCTTTCATTTTTCTTTAAAAAGTGCCATGGGTAAAAAGCATAAAGATAAACACAGGAAAAGATGTTTATGAATCTTCCTCTAATACCATAAATTAACCCAGCATGCCTCGGTCTCTGAGGGTAGAGCATCCAGTTTTGTAGAACCATCAGCTACAACAGTCACTGCATCCTGAGGATGCAGGATCCCACGCCACACCAGCATCCTGCTCTCGCAGCGAGCGCCCACTCAGCACTGCTGGGTTTGCCTGGCTCTCCTCGCACTCAGCCGTGCTTGAGGGAGTCATCTCCACCAGCAAAGTGGACGACTTTCTGTCACTCCCCTCCTGCCCGAGGAGGGTGTGGGAGCACCTCCCCTTGACCCCAGCAGGACTGTCAACTGTTTCTTCAGTTAACTTCAGAGGAACTCGTGACAATCCTCCTTAGCTGGAGATTGGACTGGGGGTATGGAGCCACTGAACCGTGAACTCCGTGCTCATCAAATTGCAGTTCTGCCTAATGAAGGGGCGCACGGCTCTGCTCAGCTGGCGCTGCCTCTCAGTGGCTTCAGACCACACCTGCGCTCTGCTCACACTGCCGCTGCCACAGCAGCAGAGAACTCGGGTGATTTCCTCTCTCTCAGTTATGTCATGTTTACTGACGACTGCATGATTTAATTTCACACAAATTCCATTAAAGATTATGCCCTCTATCACCAAATGCTTCCAGTGGGGAAATATAATCAGGTTATAAAAGATTTGTGTTACATTACAGTGGACCTCATAGACTACTATCATCTTCATAATAAAACAGAACATAAGGAATAAAGTCAATTTCACATAAAAAGTACTGTCTAACCAGCTACCCAACAGATAGCTTTTAGTGAAAAAGATTTTTAGAAGTCCTCTTAGATGAAAATAAACATTAAATATTTGCTGTTTTATATAGTGACTCATCTTGTCTGCTTTTAATTTTTTCTAATAAAATAACTTATTTGGAGCTATTAAAATCATATTCATGCATAATATAATTTTTTAAAAAACACGTGTTACCTGGTACTATTTCAATCTAGACATAGATTACTAGGAAAAGGGAAATCTTATTCCTTCTCCTTTTTAGATTTTTCTTCTATTAATGAACATTCTAGGTTACAAAATACTCTGTATTGAAATGACATCCAAATTAATAAAGTGCTTGGTGTTAAGTGTCTATGCATACGTGTGCTTGTGTGTGTATATTAACTTTACAGATAACAAATAGACACACATATGAGATGTTTTTCATTTGACAGTATCTCAAAAGTAAAGAAAAGCATATGCCAGACTGGTAAATATTACAGAAGAAAGAGAAGGTTTTCACAAAACTGAAGGGAAAGCGGACAACACCCTGAACTCTGTCTGAGCGGAAACACCACGAAGGGCAAGTGTAACATGAAGAGTCTCGTGTGTGCAAGAGCCATTCGGGAAGAAGTGACTGTCAACCCACAACGCCCACCAGCCTCTGCAGGTGATGCACCTGGAAGGACCCCACAGGAGCCTGGTGGACGGCAGGGATGGGCGGTGCCCAGGAGCCACCCGTTCCCTGGTGAGCGATGTGCACTTTTGGTCCGGATTTACCTGAGCTCATTATTAGTTGGTGACTCAGTTCTACAACACATCAACAAACAGGCAGAGGAAAACCTAAGGAAGTGATGATTGTTGATACAGACTGTAGTCTTGCATGTGAGCATCTTAAATAGATACCTAGGACTGCTAGGGTTGATTACACTGAATCAGTGGTTTCAAGTTATGTGACAGGTAAAAAGAAACCCAAATGAATGACACACAAATACCACCTGGGAACAGGGCTATGGAAACCGTGGAGCCTAAAATAAGCCTGAAAATGGCCTGTCTCCAAACCCTCCACTGATCTCAACATGATCTGTGCACACACAACAGCCCTGATGTGTCTCACGTTAGGAGCCTGGAATGTTACAAGGATTCCAGACCACAGACTCACTCACAGGGAGCTCACTGCTTAAAATCTTTGGCAAATGCTGTAACCGCTAGGCTGCTTCCTTGTGTGAAAGCAAATAATTCCTGTTCTTGCAACCTCAGATAGCTCCTGTAAGGCTCCAATGAAAAAGACAAGATTCAGGTATGTCAAAAAAAAAAAGTCCTTATATATTAGAGATACAGACTAAATATTTACAGATGAAATGACGCAGTATTTGAGTTTCATTTCAAAATAATATGGTGGAGGAGAATGGCTATAGATGAAACAAAATCAGCCGTGTATTGATATAACTGCTGAAGCTGAATGACAGGTGTATGAGGGCTGATAATACAATGGTGTTGACTTTTGTTTACTCAAAAGGTGAAAAAAAAAGAATGTACCTTTAAAAAATGAGAAAGTCTTATTAATTATGAAGAAAAACAGAGGGATTGTTAAGAAACATATTTGATGCAGCATTCAATATTCTTAAAAATACTATGTTTACTGAGTAATTTTTACAAATAATTCACTAAGAAATTTAATATGAATAAATGACTTAAGGTCATTTTGCCCTCTATGATTACAGAATATAGAAATGCTTATTTAAAATTACTCCCAAAACTGGTTCTTGATTTATAAATTGGAACTGGTAACTAAAGTAATACAATGTATTAAGATAATCAAAGAAGTCTGCTAATGTACAGGTTACCATATAATTAAGGCTCAGTTAAACTCAACAGTAGGGGATATTTTGCAAGAAGTTGGCCTCCGGAAGTCAATTAGCTTACCTGGGAGTAAGAATTCATGACGTGGCTCTGAATCTCATCCATCGTGTCAGTTCCGTAAGACACAGTGCCCAGATGCAGCCGCTTGAATATCATCTCATTCTGGGTGAGGGTTCCTATAGCAGATGTAGCAACAACAAAAAAATACATGAACACAGGGAGCTCATCAGGAAGATCAAGACATCCCACACACTTTACGTCCATAGGCCAGATGCTTGTCATACATTTGAACACACCTCTGCAGCAAAAATGTTCTACTCTGTAACACCAAGTATTTTTAAATGTTATTTGTCATTATTTTCATTTTACTAGTGAGAACAAGAAGTTTTCTTCCTAGCATGTCAAGTTCCCTTTTTAATAACTTTTAATAGTGTGAAGGGTTCTGGTTAGAGAAAGAAAGTTTAGTCCTGCCTTTCAGTTCAGATCTGTTATTTGGTACAAATGTAATGTTCGCCTGTTCTGAGAGAGATGATTCAAGTGTTTCATGTCTACCTGTGACTCCATACACACCAGTTAGGATTACTGTTCAAAGCAAAACAGCTCATCTGATGCAGAACTCCCACCCGAACACAGAGGCTGTTTTAAGTTAAAAAGAATATTTTACAATGACTGTTTTAGAGATTGTTTTGATAAATCATCTTAAAAGAATGGATAAATTAGAGTTTCATAAACTTGAAAGACTGGCTACTATCAGGGATGCTCGCCAGTTGTATACATTTTTCCTTTTGCAAAGTTTTATGTCCCTTCTCTAATACCCTGAATAACCGCCTCCTGAATTTCATGAAAGTAAGCGGGAATAGAACATAATCATCAAAATTACATGAGAAGTGCAGTTTCAAAGGGTTTTTTCCTTGGTTATACCATCCTCATTAAATAAAGTAGAATGAACTTAAAATACTAGGTCATATTAAATAATGTAGCTAGCAATAATTCAGCTTCCAAATGAAATAAGGGAGTTCTATAAATGTATCAAAGATTTGAGATGAAAACGATAGTCCCACTATCTATAGCAAAAAGATAAAATTTTACACTAATTCCTATTAGTCTAAGTACAAAGTTCACCTCTATTAGGTGTGCCCAAATGAGCAGTTCTCTGAAAAATTATTTAACAAATATATTATTTAAATTCAAAATATTTTACTTATCAGAGTAATTGACAATTAAGAATTTCCTTTAGACTTTTTTCTCTGATATACACTGAACGTGAAGCATTATAATTTATAGTGGGGCATGGTAATGAGGCATAAATGCTAAGCAGTTTATAAATAGGAGTATGATTAATAATGCTTCTTTTAACCTAACTTCCTATTCCTAACAATTCTACATACACCACAAAGTTAAAGAACATCACAAAAGACACCTGCACAGCTCCTACCAAGAACGGACTGCTATTTCCTTAGGTCTTAAACCACCTTAAGCAAGTGACCAAAGCCCCTGAGTGAGGAGGCCACACTCCATCCCTCGTGGCTGTCACCTTATGCCACAGGGACAGGCACTGGCTGCAGGGCTTGCCAGGTGCTGAGACGTGATCCTTTGCTCCGCTGAAGGGACCGTTACCGATCTTCTCGCGCCAGCTCTCTGCTCGCACTTTCCCCACAGAGGTCCCTGCTCGCTGGGACTCACAGCCCAGCCTTCCCTTCCCCTGACAGCCTGCACGCTCCACCAGCAGTGTGCACCCAGGGTGCCCAAGAGGGGCCTGTGTAGGCTCATACTCCCTCCTGCAGGGACCTCGCTGAGATGGCACGACCCCCATGCACTCAGCCTCCTCATTGTGAAACGCCTGCCCGAGGGCTGGGGGACAAGCAGGCATCCAGGCAGAGGCGTGACACGGTAGGTCCCTGAGCACCACCACCATCGACGTCACCCCTACCCTTCCTTTACTGTCTGTATTCCATCGACCCTCACAACTTTCAACCCTACCTCAGAAATGAGGCGCGAGCCCTCTGCCCCTCTGACATCTACTCTGGAACTCTGTAGTTCTGCCCTCTTCATCTCCCATCCTGATTTGTAAGCCTCTGACCGGTTTCCAGTCCTCTAACCAGCCTGATCCTCCTAGAACAAGGACCCCTTCATTCTACTCTCCCCTGCTTAAACACCGCCAGTGACCCTCCACTGTTTCCAACCAAGCTCCTTGGAATGGAAAGCAGGTCCTTCAGTCGGCCTTCCTGTCAGATTGTAACGTTCCTTGCTGCAGCAAGGCTTCAGGATTCTCCAAACACACCATCAACTCTCACATTCCTGGAAACTTCCAATAAGCCTGGAATTCATTTATCTTTTTGGCAAAAAACTCCTTAAGAGGCATGACTACATGCTGGTTCTGGAGAACTTGCGTGCAAACCCCCGCTGTCACCTGCAGGCTATGGAAGCTCACGGCGCTGCGTGAGCTCTCAAGCCTCACTTGTTTGTCTGCAAAACAGAGAACGACCACCTAGCTTGCATGCAAACAGCAAGGAGCAAGTGAGATAACATGTCAAGTGTCTGAAACACAGAGGAGTGAAGGTGCCTCTCCCCAAGAAGCTTACGGCATGGCAGGCAGAGAGACACAGGGAACAGTTCTCTTTCTGAGAGGTAACAATGCAGCAGAACCTAAGTGCAGAGGCCCTGAGGTGCCTGGGGGAGGCGGGGACTGCATAAACCCCATGAACGACGGATGCTGATGCAAGGGGAGGGCTGGAGAGGGAACAGCAGGCGAAGCTGGAGAAACAACACGTGTCCCATCACCAAGGCATCCTGTGCCAGGCTTCTGGGTTCTGATTTCATTCTGGGGACTCCTGGGTGAGTGAGAGTGACTGGTCACCATGCTGGGGATGGGTCACAGAGGTCCAAGTCGAGGAAGGAGCTGGTATAAAGGCGTAGGTGAGGAGTGACGAGGCTGTACGGGTCGACAGAAAGGAACAGACAAATTCCTGAAATATAGGAAAGCTGAGGCACCTGGACATCACTGCTGGACACAGAAGCTCCAAATCTGCTCAGAGCATGCTGAGGCCCACTGCCTCTGCTCAGGGATGCTGCCACTCACTGGGAAATAGGAGAGAGGAAAGTGGATAGAAGATGATGAGTCTGCTTCAGGAAATGATGAATCTGAAGTGCTGTAGGCAGACAGAGAGAGAAGACGGATGGCTATGTGCAGGGCCGGGGCTCAGAAGAGAAGGCTGGCCGGGAAGGCCTGTGATAGATGCTACTGCACATGTGTTTTTAGCCACTTGCAGAGCACACTGCACCTCTGAGCTGTATTTTGGTAATAATACTCCATTATCCTATGTTCATCATATATCTTACACTCCCAACTATGTCACGGGTATACCTTGCTGTTCCTTTCATCCCTTCAAATCAAGCACTGCATTTCATGGCATAGTGGCCCCACCAGATACCACTGACATTTGAATAGTTTTAAATTTATATGTAGTGCTGTTAGATAGCCTGGGGAAGACCCCTCATAAAGGCCTGCTACAGAAGGGCAGGGCGCGTGCTCATTCCTGTGTTATATGTAAGTTAATAAGGTGCAGAGAAATCCAGGAATCCTCACAGTCTGTTAGGAAATTAGTGAGACGAGCTCAGATGGTTTGATTACAATTTCTGTGTGTCTTCCACCATGTCAAGCTGCTTCAATTAGATACTTGCTAATTAACTTTTATGGGCTGTGCTAATATTTGTTGAAGAAGCTGAAAGAATGATTCAAAGAATAGATTCAGTTAAGGTTACAATGTATGTTAGGAATAAAAGAGATTTGGGGCCAGCCCCACCGCCAAGTGGTTAAGTTCACGTGCTCTGCTTCGGCAGCCCGGGGTTTCACTGGTTCAGATCCTGGGCGTGGACACGGCACCGCTCATCAAGCCATGCTGAGGCAGCATCCCACATGCCACAACTAGAAGGACCGGCAACTAAAAATACACAACTATGTACCACGGGGCTTTGGGGAGAAAAAGGAAAACTAAAATCTTAAAAAAAAGAGATTAAATTATACCTAGGAAAAAGGATAAGTCACTTTTAGAAAGAGATCAATCTTTTCTAGAAAGATCTCTTGGGCCATGTTTGATACATTTCAACAGGTTTTACAATAGTCAAGAAAAATAATCACAACATTTATTAAAATAAATGTGAACAATATGGTATTCATCATACCACAACTACAGCTTTTGGGAAAAAAATTTATACAACAAGGGTGAATAGAACAAACCCTCTATCTCACAACCTAGAACCTGGTAGAGGAAGCAAGTGTTTGGGGTAAAGGATGTTGCCCACTTTCAGCAGACGTGTCAGCAAAAGCAATTCTTGACAATGCACCAAGGCAAGCTACCGCTTCTGCTACACACCCTTCGAGGCCCCAGAATGGGGGTGGCAGTGGCCACCTGGACTCGAGCCTTCTGAGCATGGCCAGGGGCCCAGTCTTCTAGGACACGTTGTCTACGCTGTCAAGTGGGGGTGCACGACTGCATTACTGTAGACCGCCTAGCTAGAGCATTCTACAATTTGACATTTAGCTCTAAAAATTAATGTGTTTATAATAAACTGTATCAGCTATTTTCACAAATATTATCTTCCTTGATCCTCACAAAGACCCTGGGAGGAAACAGAAGCACAGACTGGTCAAGCCACGTATCTGTGGCCAGGACTCAGCCAGAGAGCATGCCGTGGTGTGCCACTGAGCAGTGTGCTTCACTGCAGATGTTTGTACTCTACATGAAACGCCAGAGGATCATTACATACTTATAGTTCTCTAGTTTAAAGACTATCACAGATATCAATGAAATGATGGCAAAAAGTAAGATAAATGTGCTTTTACATAAGACACATCCTAGTTAAAAGAAAAAATATTACACTGAAAGGAAATGTGACTCTTCTACTCTTAACCAAGACCTCTTTCCTATTTGCCAATCTAAAAGCAAGGTGTTTTGTTGCCTGTTTGCATTAATTTTTATTTTGAAATAATTACAGAGTCCCAGAGAGCTGCAGATACACAGGGGAATTCCCTGTGCCTTCCCCAGCTCCCCGCACTGGTTGTGTCCTACATAAGGATAGTGTAACACCAAACCAGGACTCTGGCGCCATCCAACGTGTGTGTGGTCCTGTGCCACCTCATCGCATGCACAAGTGTGTGTAGCCACGACTGCAGTCA